AAGAAGATAATTTCTTTCTTATTTTAACAAAGAGAAAAATTTTCTTTACTTAAGATCCTTATACTTAATTCTAAGAAAAGATACAGTGAGGATAAGAAGTTGAAATAGTAGAATTCCCACTTAGGCAAAAGGCCGTTTAAGGGAGCAATTTGCAGATTCAGAGCCTGAAGATCACTCGGTTCTAAAAATACAGATTTAAGATCAAGAGTAAGGTAAAATTATTGTCTTTGTTAAATTTAGAAAGAATTCTTCTAATATCTTGAAAGAATCATATGCATTATTACTTATCATGTTTGCAAAAACTTATCTATCATGTTATTATTATTCATCATAAAGCTTGTAAGGAATTATCTATATGATGTCAGGTTATACAATTAAGGGATTAGATAATCTATTAGAAAGACTATTAGAAAAAATAAAAAATATTTTTTCTCAACTAGAGACTATGGATATATCGTCTAAGGAATATGATAATCTTAAGGAATTATATGATAATTATATTACAGATTATGCTAATTTATTAGATCAAATGATGGAACTATATATTAAAATTCGAAATGAGAGAAATAGAAGAATTTTGGAACTATTTCAATAAATCACGATATTTTGTGCAAAATATGACAAGTCATTTCATTAAGGGTAATATAGACATTTTAGCAAGAATGAATAGTGACGGACCATTTAGAAAAACCCCCCTGCAAACATGCTTCTTGGACAGGGTAGGAAACAGGGTTAAACAGTACACCTAGACAGAGGGTACTTTCTGGGCGCCCAGTTTTTAACCCTGTTCCCTACCCTGTCCCTCTGCCTTTTCTATTCTTCCTGTTGCAAGTTCATTTACTACTAACCATAGGTGCTAGTAGACCGTGAGAAACGTGGCAGCTGTAGCTTGGGCCCAACGGTTGGGGTATTGTACAACCAGGGAGGGCTTATTAGAAAAAAATAAAATATTGAAAAACAACGACAGAGATTTACAAAGCCCATGTTCAGAATCCATTATAATGAGTTTTTGGGAGTAATGTATTTTGAAATAGTGATGTTTACGGGAAAAAATATGTGGATAAAAAAGAAGAATTTATATGTAATATTATTTTATTGAGAAATGTGTGGTTAAAACAATGAAAGAGAAAAATGTATTAAACCATAATGTAGACCAAACAAGGGCAAAATAAAGTGTAAAAAATCCGATCAAAAAGTAAAAATAAAGTGTAAAACCCCGCAGGACTAGACCTGCATGAGCTGTGCTGGTTGACACCTTTGAGTACTTGGCTGAGTAAAGGCTGCGAACGCTAGATGCCATTTCTAATGTGAGATATGGTTTACTGTATTCCAAGGTAAAATTCAAAACAAGACCCCAAACTTTCCAACGCTAATTATTTAAAAGCACTTATGAGAGAGAGAGAGAGAGAGAGAGAGAGAGAGAGAGAGAGAGAGAGAGATTTATTAATAAGGTTACTCTATTCAAGGAAAAATGTAGCCAAGAACACTAAGAAATTTGCTCATTCTATTTTAGCTTTCAAGCACAGAATCAATGAGACAGACAAAACAAAGAAGCAAGTTCAAGTACCTAAACTAAATTTTGGAGGATCCATCACCTGTTATATGAGATTTCTATTCTCTATTTCTAGATCTAGATATGAAACTAAAATTACAAAAAGGCTGCCTTTCCTTAATAAAAATTTTCACTAAATTTAGAAGACTTCAATGATGAAACGAGCACAATGTTCATTTCGACATCATTCCATAACAACAACAGCCCCAACTGCTTTCATCTTCTCAATAATTTTTTCCGCTTCTTCTTTTGGCACCCCCTTTTTAAGCACAGCAGGCGCCTTCTCCACTAAGTCCTTCGCTTCCTTTAGTCCCAAGTCAGTAAAACTTCGAATCTCCTTAATTACCTTGAGTTTTGAAGCTGAGTCAAAAGACTCCATCTTCAGCTCAAAAGCTGTCTTTTCAGGTTTCTTTTCTTCTTTGGCTGCCGTTGATGCCTTCATCGCAACTGAAGCCACTCCTGCAGCACCTGGCTTCATGACTCCAACAATTGGCAGCTCTTTCATGCCCAGTTTCTTCATCATAATAGAAGAGAGCTCTGCAGCTTCAACCAGTGTGAGTCCAGATATTTCATCAACAAGTCTCCATACCCTCTCGGTCGGGGGACTGCGATGCTCTGTGGGATCAAAAGTTTCGGGATTATAATCAGCTGGAAGTCTTCTTTGGTCTATCTCTACTTCTTCCTCCTCTTCTTCCTGTTTGGAAGCAGGTTGAGCAAAGTTTCTAGTCGCACCAAGTAAGTTAATCAAACAAGGTACAGTCACAGGAGCTCTAACAGGTTTTCTAAAGTATCCATATGGTAAATGACGCCTTAGTTGTCCAACCAAATTCATTTTCAACTTCCTAGAATAGTGGTTTACCAAATCAACTATGAAACCACCATTCAGAAAAATAACACCCTGTAAAATCCAACAAAAAGAATGAGTAAGATCAAACACACCAGCTAATTTATGGATATCAAAAGAAAAAATAAAAATAAATAAAAAAGCACAAACAAATGCACCGCTGATTTCTATTTTCAAGGCAAAAAACAACCACATGCTATCAAGCTAATTCAACCGGAAGCATTCTTCAGCCAAAGTCATCAGATCTCCCAAACAGAAAAGAACTAGAGGCTAAAAGCATACAGACAAAAGAACAAATAGAGAAATTTCTTGAAGCTAATATCAAGTTAGGAGTCTTGCTGAAAGCATTGGTCCGAAGAAAACATAAAACTGGGATCAGAAATGTGTCTAGATGAGATATTTAATCACCTTTTGTGCTCTTTATAAGTAAACTACCTTCATATTTTGTTAGAAAGGGGATTGACACCGTGAAAATAAGTCCAAAAACTTCCATTATTGGAGTAAGTTAACAAGAACAATGCATGTTTTATGTACTTGCCAGCTCATGCATAAAAAATTCTGTTTATTTTATTCGCGGGTATCAAATTAAAACACAAAGACCAGCAAACATTCAACTAAGGAATTAAATTAAGAGCACCAATAAACATGCAACTGGGAAATTAAATTAAGACCATGCTTGGAAATTGTTTATAAACGATTTAAATTATAAATAAATAGAAATGAGCAACGAATAAGTGGATAATACTTGTGGGTCCCTCAAAATGTGTGGATAGAAAAAAATGACTTAGTTTTTAATTTAAAAACATTAGTCAAACCTAGGCTAAGTAAATTATTAGTATAAGAATCTCTGGAACAGCAGCCAAGACAGATTCTTTTTGTTCATTTATAAGATACAAAAGAAACCTTTCAAATCTGTAAGACTAAACGATAACAAAATGAATCGCCTTTGCTGCTGATGCTAGAGGACTCTATTCGATTAGTTTTAAGATGATCTTCAGACGGTGGGCTTATTCTTGAAATTTTGTGGCTATTGTAATCTTGATGAAATGTCAGAATTATAAAAGGTATTCGTAGAATGTGGAGAAACAATATCTGATTTTCAAATAAAGGTGGAATTGACTAAATGCAGACAACAAGAATATATCGAGCAATGTACTTAATACATTGCAAAAACTTCACTGTTTCTGGAGCACCAAAATGCTAGAAAAATGAAAATAAACTGATTAAAACCCTTAATTCGACTTCAAAATCTCGATATTGGTTAAACCCCCTTGTATCATAAAAGAAATCCAATGGCCATTGTCCCAGGTAGATCCTACTCAATACAGAAATTAGCAAGTTTCACCCGACACTCGTCCCCAGGTAAAACCATCTTCTTAAGAGTGATTTATTTTATTACATTACTCTCAATTGCATATAAAATATTATTTTTGTTTTTTCTTTCCCAAAAATACAATGACTATAACCTATCTAGAGTTGAATGCCATTCCATTAACTACATGGTCTTTGGCTGGATTTCGAACATTTCAAAAAAATGCATCAGATTGCAGATAGCATTCCGATTGCAGGGTTTATAATTCTGATCCATCTTGCCCCACTTATTTTTTCTTCTGCTATTTATTTTAGATTTTCTTTTTCCTAGATAACATTTTATGGCAGATTCTTCTGAATCCTAGAACTGTAATGAGGACATCACCCTTTTGTTATTATTGGATCATTTATTTTATTTTATTTAGTTGAGTTTGTATTAATGGGCTGGCCCAAGCCCTAGCTTTAGGATAGTTGGTTTGTCTATTTATATGGTTTGTAATTAAAACCAAACCTTAGAAGATGAATGATAATTAAACAGGCTTGCTGCTCACGTTTTCTTCTTCCCCTGTTTCTCTCCCTTCCTCGTCTTCCTCTTCTACTTCTCTTCTCCTGCTGTCTTCTGCTTCCTCTGCTCTTCTTCCTGTTGGAATTCTTCCTCTGCTGCTGCTCTTCTATGGTAATCTCAATTGGTTCTACATCAAATTTGGCATCAGAGCTATTTCTACTATTTTCTCAAACTGTAGAGCAATCTGGGACCTCAAGGTGTTCATCTTTCCTGCAACCCAGGAAATTCCGGTCTTAAAACAATGGCGAGCCCAATATCAGAAAGACGCATTCCATATCTTCATTACACCAATTAGTCTGCAACCTCTTAACCTTTAGACTTCATCCATATCATATATATTCAGCCAAAACAACAAACTTCTGCCAATCAACAACAATCAACTGGCAATTATAATTCCTGTAAATTCCAGCAAAGTATTCTTCCCAAAAACTCACCTCTCCCGCCATTACTGTCCAGCAGTAAGCCAAATGGGTTTTCTAAACACAGCCATATCATAAATGAAACCTTAGTCACAAGAGCACCAATGGATTTTCTAAACGCAGCCATATCATAAATGAAACCTTAGTTGTGCAATCAAACTCATTTTAACATTCTAGAGTAATGGTTTACCAAATCGACTTAGGAACCATCATTTAAAACTATTACGCCCTGTGAAAATCTGACAAATATGGTAAGTGAGATCAAAGACAGCTGCTAATTTCTAGAGTGTAAAAAATAAAGCACAAACTAATGCATAATTCATTTGGTGGAGCTTAAAAGTCACCATAATTAAATTAAAAAGCACCTAAAAACTCAGATATCCAACTGACAATGTCTACTTTTGAGAAAGCTGTTACTTCTCTAATCTGTGTTAAGTAATCTGGAAAATAATTTCAGCAGGAAATAACTAGTTATTCTTAAAGGACCCATAAGTGAGGTATGTAAGAGGAAAAATGCAAAATACAAATTTGATTCCTTGTTTAGTTCACATCCACGATTCAATAAATTATGGAACTCTGTATTAAGGAAAATGTATTCAAATAGCAATAATTACTATTACTTCTGTTAATCCAACAGAAGCATTGTTTATAATACAAATCAATAGAGAAATACCGATAACCAGTCCTCAATTAGCATTCTAATTACTGAAAATAATAAAGAACTATAGTATCAAATTAACCTAAACACCGGATACCAAAGAAAACGGATCTAATTTGTGCCTGTGCGTGTGTATGCGCCCTGTATACACAGATACCTGGGAGCTTATACACACAATACATATATATCTATATATAATCGAATGAATAAGGGATTTAATCAAGTGAGTGAACAGAAGAAATTACCTTGAAATAGAGAACGTGCTTACATCAGAGTGTGAAAAGAGTGAGACTGGACCAAGAACCCTAATGTGTTTCAAGAGTATAGGTCGTGCTGATGATTCTGAAATAAAATTAGCAATTATGGTTTAATTAAAATTTGACATAGAGTACCCAGTCTTTATTTAATGTGACATTTAGGTCTCCAGCCTACCATTTATGACACTTAAGCCCCTAATCTTTCGAACATGTGTGTCTGATCCTCGCTTGATGGAAACCATCCATAATAAGTTAAATTTTAATGTCAAGAAACTATTATATCCTTCTATTGACTAAAATAAGAAAAGAGGAAAATAAATCAACAAGTACGAATATTTTCCAACACACAATTGAACAGAGATAGAAGCAATGCAAACTTATCTTGATTATGTTGGGACAAAGGTAGAATGAGTTTGAGATGTTGCTTGGATTGATGACGGGTCACTATGAATGAAGCTATTTTTAGTTTTATACCCTTCGAGTAATATTATATAAACGATATTATAAATTAATATTTGATTAGTAGCGTATTTTAATTTGGAGCAATAATCTAAAGTTCCATGATCAAAGAGGATGTCACAAATAGTATGCTAGATGTTTTGAGTATAGCAAGACATGATTTGTGATGTGATTAAAATATATCGTTCACGATCGATAAATAAAATTGGACGCTTTATGTCAATAAGATTGCATTATTTGTTATGGAGATTTGTCTAGATTTGGGAATAAAAACAATATTGTGTCTTGGTGCACATTGAACAGGACAATGTAGATAACTTATTTGTGATCACTCGAAAGGAAATTCTACTCGATCGTCGAATGAGTCATATAAATCATGAGCAAGTTATGTACCACTGATTTCTAGTTAAGTTATTTAAGGTACCAATGAGTAAAATCTTAATTGGAAGATTAATCTCAATACTTCAGGAATCGGGGTGAAAAGTTGGAGATCATATACTCGTACTATTGAAATTCATTAATCGTCATGATGAGAGGATCATCACTCCGAGGCGTTCTCTATAGGCATTTGAACTGAGCTCAATAGTCTAACAACAGGATTGTTGCACTCTATGTTATGATTTGTTCACAACGGATTTGCCGTATGAAAATGGGACTTGGGTGGCTATACATGTTGAAAGGGCAAAATTTCACTTTTAACATATTGACGATCAAATGGGGAGTTGACTTGTGCAATGATGATTAGATGATATTGCAATCGGATCATAATTTGCTTCCTAATTATCATTCAATTTGAAAGTGCAATTTTGGTTTTTTGGTAGAAGAAATCGAGATAATTTTCCTACTACAATAAAATTCAAGAAAAATTGTATAGTTATGGAACCTTAAATGATTATTAAAAATATAGCCTTTGTGGGCACATTTCTCAAGATTAGGGTTACTCACACTCTCCCTTTTTTTGGAAAAATGGAGGCACCCAAGTAGAGAACAAGGTTGAAGATCTAAGGGAGGAGGCTTTGATTAGAAAGGTGGAAAGCCATTAAAAGTTCTTCTAAGATTATAATCTTACCCTTATGTATAAAAATTTAAAACAAAATTCAATAACCTCAAAGGAATTCAAAATTTATAATCTATTTGGATTTAATTTTCAAAAGGAAGTCAATTTCCCGTTGTTAAATATAAAAACCAACAAATTATATCAGAACCAACGGTTATTGATCCTTGAATAGGACTAGTTTTTAAAATTTTAGTGTAATATACAGTTTTAGTAGCTGTGATGTTAGGTTATTTGATTTGACATGTTTATTGCTTTTTATGCTTAAAGAAAATATTTACATAATCACTTTTCTTTCTAGTATATTCCCTTTTTCATTCTTATAGTTTATTTTATTTATTTCATTCTATTAAGCACTGGGATTGTGTATTCATTTTTCATATTTCTACACTTTTGTATCAAACGAAGAGGATGAAATTTTGGACTCAACCCTTTTTTTTGTTGTTATTTTCTTTGGAGGCTTGGTGTTTTGGAGATGAAAGACGTATGGTATAGAGATGTTTACTGAAAATATTGGGATAAAGGAGAAATGGGGCAAACAAGAGCAAAACAATGTGGAACCATCAATTTGAAGGCGGCATAGGCAATTGTTGCTATCGGCTGTAGTCTGCAAAACAATGTGGAACCATCAAGTTGAAGGCGACATAGGCAATTGTTGCTATCGGCCGTAGTTTACAGCTGTGGGCGTAGCTGCGATGGTCCTTTTTGGGGCTGCCACCGTCAATGCCTCCAAGTACATTGGAAAAGTTGGAGGTGGTACCATGGTGGTGGTGTAAGGATTAGTGTAATTAGATTTTATTTAAATTTTTGTGCTTTTCTTTGAGACTTGGACTAATCTTAATGGAAAAGGGCCTTGTCTAAAATATTGGAACTTGAAATTTTAAATTGACCTACAATTTGAACATTTCATGAAATGGATTATAAAGAAATTGAAGAATTATGCGGAAACGTGGCTCGATGGAGAAGTTTGATTCTTGTTGTAATTCAAATCTAGAAAGAAAAGTGATTATAAGTGATTACAATTCATTTATTTATTGCTTTTGCTGTCTTATGGATGATAAATGAATGAATATTATTACATGTTAGGTAGATTAAATAAAACACCATCAGGTATACTAAATTCATATGCACTGGTATTGTATAATTGTTTCCATCGTTCTAAATTAATTAGAATTGGTTGAAAAATTATATTTAATAATTTGATGATTTATAATTGTTTATATTTGGTCGATTAATTATTAAATGAAAACCCAACGTTTAAAATAATAAGCAGGAAAGGATTTATGGGCATGTATAAACCACAGCATTCTCTTTTATCTAATTTTTTATTAAAATAGGTATTTATCTAGTATTGAATTGTATCAATCTCCCTAAGACTATGTTATTTTAGATCAATTGAAATTAGAGTTAAAGATAGAATATTTTGAACTGAACTAATTAGATGATTATCCTATAGGTAACATCTCATTTATTTTGGATACTTCAAAATTATTAACGGAGGTTAATACACATATATGATAATTTTGAAAGACTTCTTGTAGAGGGTTTCGACAAAATTATTTATACGTCAAATAATAATCAATTCTCATTTTCATTGTGGTATGCGATATCTAGTTCAATATAATGATTGGCAGGGTTCAACCTTGCCAACAACTATATTGACCTTTTTATGGAGGACGTGTTAAAAGTTACAAAGGTTTTAGATCTTTGATTAAAATATAGCTTTGGGTATATATTTTCATACTTTATACATGCATCATTTGAAGATTATTATTTATTTTATTAATACGCGAATAATTAATTTTACAGAATATGTCGCTTAATCAATTATCTATCATACTTAACAAAAAACATACTTGTGGGATAACACTACGTTGACTATAAAATGAATCTTAACATTTTTTTATCGCTTAAAAATACAAATTTATACTGATTGAAGTTTGTTCCGAGATCCCTAGAAATGATTGCACAAAATCTCAAAAAACTTCATATGAAATGTGGTGTCATTCAGATGAGATGACCTGTTGCTACATTTTGTCTTCCATGTCAAATGTATTGCAATAGAAACATCATAATATGGAAACTGCTTTTTACATGATGAAAGTCTTTAAGAGATGTTTGGACGTCAAAATCGGCAAGCTAGACAAGCTTCATTAAGGCAATCATAAACATTTGCATGAAGCCGGGCACATTTGTAACCATGATTGGTCACTTCAATGTTATAGAGGTTTTAGGAGCTAACATTGATCCTGAGATGCAAATTAACATGGTTTTTGAATGTTCCTTTGAGATGTTCTCATAGTTCAAAGTAGATTATAATCTACACAAAATCAATATGTCTCTGACAAAAATAATGAAGGAGCTCCAAAGCATGGAATCTATTCAAAAGGCTAAAATTGAAGATACTTTGATTGTTATGGCTGAACTCTCTCATCTAAGCCTTCTGGTGAAAATGAGGAAACAAGAGGAAGAGGGAACAAAAAAAAGATGAGAAGTCAAAATGAAACAAAACTACAGTTGATGGGAAACCAAAGGGAAAATGTTAAATTTGTTGACAAAATTTTCATTAGAAGAAAAATTGCCCAAATCTCCGAACTAAAGGGAGCAAGGTAAAGGCAATACTTAATTCATTAAGTCATGCGTTTGTAGTTGATTCTATCAATACCTGGATTGTAGATTTTGGATCTACTAATCATATTTACAAATCTTTGCAGGGGTGGGTTTCAAGTAACAAAACACCTTAGTGAAAGAAAATACACTCTAAGGGTTAGTACGGGAACAATTGTGTTTACCGAAGTTATTGGCACCCATGCTTTATATTTTAAAAACCTTAGACATTTGATTTTGGATGACTGTTATTATGTTCTCAAACTTGCATGGAACTTAGTTTTCGTTGCGCTTTTATATCTTGTTGTTTATTTGGTACTTTTTACCCCGTTCTATGTGTCTATTAAATTGAATAATTTTGTTATATGGGTCATATGTTTAACAGTCTCTATATCTTAATCCTATGATTAACTCTGTATATAACGATACTACTCCTAGGAAAAGAAAAAGGTTAACTTGTACTAATGAAACTCACTTATGACATCTTAGGTTGGGTCATATTAATATTAATAGGATCTAATGATTGGTGAAGGATGGATCTTTAACTGAGTTAAAAGTGAAATCCATACCAACTTATGAATCTTATATAGAAGGTAAGATGACCAAGAGGCCTTTTATTGATAAGGGACTAAAAGCCAAAGAAGCTTTGGAATTAATATTCAATGTTTGTAGATTCATTAGTACTCGGGCTAGATAAGGATATGGGATTTCATCACCTTTAAAGATGATTATTCTAGATTTTGATATATACCTTATGTCTCATAAGTTCAAGGCCTTGGAGAAATTCAAGGAGTTTTGGATGGAGGTTGAGAAACAATTTGGTAAGAATATCAAGGCTCCCAATCCTATCGGGGCAAAAAAATCTATTCCCAAGAGTTTAAATCTACTTTTTAGATAATGGGATAATGTCCCAATTGAGTACAAGAAGGACTCTCCAACAATATGGTGTCTCGAAAA